CAGCTCCGAAGCTGTCTTACGCACTTCTTACGATCAATACAGCATGGCCGACAGCGTCGCGGGCGCGACGACCCACGGACGTTTATTTTTCTACGTGCGCTTCTCACGCGTCCCGACTTCAAGCAGCAAGAAAAAAAGTAAAAAGTACTTGAAACAGACCACGACGAACAAGAACGCTGGATCCACAAACACCCGGGAAAAGCTTCAACGGCCACGGTTCCACCGAACGCGACCAAGCGAGCACGGCAGTTAGGCCTAGCAGGCACTCCGCACCTCGGCGACCGTCTGCCCACGACCGGCTGGCGTGCTGAATGGAAAATGCCCGCGCGACCCTTGTGAACCCTTTCCGTATTATACTTTGATCGCTGACCTCAGTTTTAGATTAAGAGGTCAATTTCTTCCTCTTGTTATCTCCTTGTTTCCCGAGGCAACGGTGACTCTCGCCGGTCAAAAAGCGGTGAATCTCCGACGGACGCAGGAAAGCTAAAGCAGCCATCGCTTTGACTAGCAGACGTGAAGCAGACGACGTTAATTGCGTCAACCCGCCGACGCCGTTAAAGAATAAGGAGTCTCGCCGCACACGAAAGGAGGGAAAAAGTATTTGGGAGGGAACTTGCGGACACTAACACGCTCACTCTCGGTTCTAAGCAAACAAACCTCGGCGCCGTAGGACACCTCGCCAGTGAGTCCTTTGACTTCCCTCCTTGATGCGCGTCTGCTAGTTGTTAGACAAAAACAACGTACCGCTCGAGTTATTTCGTCTGCCCTCTCTGAAATGCGAAGTCGAGCTCGCTCGGCTTCCGAAAGTCACAGGAAAGGTAAGACGACGTTGCGAGCAGACGACGCTGCAAAGGAGCAGTCGACGCTCAGGTAGGGGGTTGCGATCAGCCAATCAGGGCTCGGCGTTCTGACGTCACCGCTACTTCCTTTCTCATGCGCAGAAGACGAAAATGAGCCCACTTGCGAGGCGTATAGACCAAAACACCGTTTACAAACAAGTCGGCGTTTGCCCACACGCTCTGCGGCTGCGCAGAAACCATATTCCCGTGAACCGAAGCATATGCGCATGCGCAGTTTGCGACAGCAGCGCCTCCGCAGTGTCCTGACGTCAGAGGGGTGAGTATGTGTATACAGTATTGCGTACACATGACTGCAGGTGTTTCAGGAGTTTCGCTTCCCCTTCTTAAAGGGACCATGAAATGATTTTAAAATCGAATTTCATCCACCGCACGTCGTAAAAGGTGCGAAAAGAAACACAAAAACACAAAACTAGGGAGCCAAAAAAAATTATTTGCTATAGAACTTTTAAAAGAAAACTGGACTCTTTTGCGCCTTCCTTCCTTCGCCTGTTCACTACGATGCATCCGCGGAAATGGAGCACGTCAGCCAAATCCAGGTCGCCTATTGGGTAAGAGCCTACCTCACCAGCACCGCGATCGTAAACAATAAATAGCCGGCGAATGTTTCCTAAAAGTTTTGTTAAATAATATTCAGATCCACATTTTGTAGCATAATTAGAGATGTGTGGCAAAAATTGCCAAATTTGATAATGCTGAGAGCCAAGCGCCATCTATCGTGTGGTAAACGAAGCAACCACTGCGCGTGCGCAGTAGGGCAGGGCCGAGTTCAGAACGGTTATTTTCTTTGGTTTCCTTCCTCTCAGAACTCTGACTGACTGAACGTTTATTTTTCTACGTCTTCATCTCGCGCGTGCCGACTTCAAGCAGCAAGAAAAAAATGTACTTAAAACAGACCACGACGAACAAGAACGCTGGATCCACAAACACCCGAGAAGAGCGACAACAGCCGCGAATCCCGCTCCTACGAAGCTCTCAGGATATAGGCCTAGCAGGCACTCCGACTCGGCGCAGCGTTGCTTCGTCGCAAGACCGTCTGTCTGCCTACGACCGGCTGGCGTGCTGAATGGAATATGCCCGCGCTACCCTTGTGGACCCTTCCCGTATTATAGTTTGATCGCTGACCTCAATTTTAGGTTAAGAGGTGAGGTCAATCTCTTCCCCTTGTTTTCCGAGGCAGGGTTGACGAACACTCGTCGAAAAGGGACCCTCGTCAATTCTCTCTTCTTGTTTTGTGTGATATAGAGCTGAAATAAACGCTGTATGGATTACCTTCGTAACACGGTATGTACACTTTGTTATTGGTATGCCATTTTTATTCTGACAGACTGCACGTCACTGTCGAGCTGTAACAGTTCGTGGGAGGTATACACCAACTCATGTTTACAAACAAACCGGAGCGCCCCTAGCGGACGTCACCGGCGCCGCGCATGCGCCGTGGATGGTGGGAGAGAAGTCCGCCGTCGCCCATAGACAGACCATTGAATTGCGTTGTTGTCGGCGTCGGTGGGAGTCCCCGTGCTCTTTTTCGGGTTGGAATTGTTGATTCTACGTCCTCCTAACAATGTCTGACTACTTGAGCGGCTTCAGCAAAACTATCGAGGCAAAACTTTGCGTGGATAATGTGACGTGCGGCGATTCATTTCACGTGGACGCCGCAGAATGGGCGCTAAAGCCCGACTCTCACGTCGAGATTCTGCTCGCTATTTTCAGTCGCGACGTCGCTCGGACTGCAAAAGCGTAGACCGTAGCTGAGATGGTGGACATCGATACTGAAAACCTCAAGTAGAATCGGGCAATACAAGTCGGTGATGGCCACTGGTAACAATGATCAACAACTTCTTGTATCTGTTTACATTTAGCCGACTTACCCCAACCAACCTTCAAAAGTGTTTTGAGGCGTGCACTTAGTTCTTATCGCAATTACCGGGTCAACGTTTGGTTACGGGCCGCTGTCGTTTGAACGAGCTGACGAAAAAAAGCAGCTAAATTTGAAAGAGCAGACGACAGTTCGAACGGATGCGCAATGAAGTACGGGCAAGAAGCACCGCGTCCCGCGTCAACAAACCATTCGAATGTCACGTTGTCGGCGTCTGTGTGAGTCTGCATACTCTTTTTCGCTTTGTAATTGTCGATTCTACGTCCTCATCGCAATGTCTTACCACTTTAATCGCCTGAGCGAAATTATCAAGGCTCGTTACGCCGCTAAACTTTCCATAAATAATTTTACGTGCGGCGATTCATTCGCATGAACGCCACAGAATGGACGCCAAAACCATGATGAAATTCTTCTAGCTATTTTCGGTCGCGACGTCGCTCGTGCTGCAAAAGTGTAGAAGGCAGCGGCGATGGTCGACGTTGATACTGAAAATCGGAAGCGGGAACAGAGCAAGCGTAACAAGTCGGTGATGGCCACCGGTACCAATGATCAACATCTTGTATCTACTGTTTACACGGAGCCTACTTAATTAAGTCTTTTGAGGCCTGCAATTACTTCTTATTGCAATCACCGGGTCAAACTTTGGTCTACGGGCCGCTTTTGTTTGAACGAGCAGACGACAAAAAGCAGACAACTTTGAAAGAGCAGACGAAAGTTCGAACGATCAGGCGGCCGTGTGAATTTGAAGACGCACTGAATCCGTGGGTGGTCCGGACAACTTGGGGGTTTTCTCTCGGTCATGTTGGAACAAAGCAAATACATCTGGCGACTACAAATTGTGGCCCGCACACGCAATCGTAGTTCGACAGCGTCGGGTTTGCCCTTTTCACGGCTGCTATCCACGTTCTCGGACGAACGGAGGGTGCAAAAACACATGAAAACTGATCTTCAAACCTTCCCAGACTCTCTTGGTAAAGCCCCCATCGCGGCATTTTGACGAGAAGGCAGGTTTTTTGTCTCGTTTCTTCCAAAGGAACACAGGAATGCATGTCTGGCACGGCGACTTCTGCCCACCGCCCGAGACCGGAAGTGCGTCCGGCGCGCCACCACTGCGGCGTGACGTAGGAGGGTTGAGTTGGTGTATACGCGCAATACCGGTCCAACCTTTCTTTGCCGAGTGTCGCGTCAGTATCGAGTTGCAATCGTAAAAGATCGGTCCCGAAGCGCTTACCAACAGCGCGAATACAGCACTTCCATCAAACGCGCGCGTCCGCTCCGAGTGTGAACAGGTATTTACGTGGCTCTTGCTGACACTCGTAGTTCAAACGTATCTTTTTTAACGTCGGCTCGCTCCTGCATCTCCGAGACCGCGAAAAACGCCGCGGCAATTTGTTTCCATCTACGTCGCTTTGCAAACGACTGACACTGGCCGCCTTTTACCAACAATGACAGTTGGGTTAACTTCTGGAGTCTTCACCGGAAGACTCGCTGCACTTCCCAACAGGCATAACGGCGTATGGGACTAGTCCCATGCTGTCGCTGTAGCGCAACGTATCTCATTGAATTTCGCTCAGCTGCGATGCGGCGATGAGAGGCGCCGATTCAGAAAATACGTCGGTGACATCGGCGCAGTAAAACCTACCGGCACACCCCAACTCGTCGCCGCTAACGCTCCCATCTCCAACTGCCGAGAGAACTTCCGGTTCCGGAAGCAGCGTACGTCACGGCTTGTTTTGCGGTCAAGAAAAAGTCGATATTTCATTAATTTTTTGTGTAGAAGTTAATAAACTGAGACGAAAACGGATGCCTGTTCGGCATTCAGTGAACATTGACGGTTTAATGTAAAGGTTATCGGGAAAAAGTAAAAAAGTCATTTCATGGTCCCTTTAAGCAAACCGAAAGCACATACAGACGATACACTTCATTAATCGTTTATATGTCCAACCAATTCCTCGCGTTTATGAACAGGCAGAATAACGGCTACCGTGTCTCTTAATAAAAACCATTGTATTTTTTTTTTTTTTTTGTAAATTAAACAGTTCGTGCTCCTACAAATGAAAAGTTCAGAGTTCCGCGACGATAAGTTCCAGCTGTCACAAACCTACGCATTTTAACCTTCCTCAAGCTGTTTACTTAAAATTTTGGTTAAAGTCTGCAAAAATCAAACCCTCCCCAATCGCTGCAACCGACGGCCCACTTGAAGATGCTATTCGATTTATCTCGCACCCTGATAAGACAAGACAGTCAAAGTACGCTTTCGGTCCGTGACGCCAACAACACTCTGCAAAAAGGTCGCAAGCAAAGATTTCGCATCCCCGCTTGGCTTGATCGCCTTCGATAAGTTAAGCTGGGGCGATCGCCGCTGACATATATCCGTGAGAGATTGCAGCGGCGCGGCACGGCATTGTCTTTAACCTAATTCTTTGCAACGCCGTTTTACGAACGGCTGTCGTTGTCTACAATCCTCGCTAACTCAACTATGCGTGCCAGGTGACGTCGGACTTTACCACTGTCGCCTGGGCTGGGATTGAACTGGCCTTTGTGTTGCATCAGAGGGCCACGGCTTCCTGGAGCCCTCATCCACGGCGTCCAGTGACCTGGCAGCGGGGCGTCCCCTTATCGACGGACGCTATCTTACAACAGGTTCGGACAATCGCTCCATTTGCTTTCTGAAAGGGTACTTATCAATCCGCGCAGCCGCTGCCACTTTATGTACCTAGAAACCGGTAAGGGAACCAAATCAGCCGAACCTCAGATTCGTCAAAGTTCGGCACATGCCGAATGTCTTGAAGGAAAGTCCTGCAAAGATTCGCCGAAAATTCGGCAAACGTTCAGCGCACGCGCGAGAACGCGATGGTGGCATGGATTGCAAATGGACGCCGTGCGGTCGTGCGGTTGCCATCTTACAGTTCAGTATTACCAGCGGTTACGGCGAAATGCGGAGTAGGCGGCATGGTAACTACGTGTTTATCAGCTTTTGTGGGTGTGGTTCTCTCCAATATGTTTTGTCTCAAGGGAAAAAATTGATCAGGAATTGACGCAGTTGACTGTACCAGTGACAAAATGAGGCGGTAGAGGCTGACAGCGTTGATTCTGCAAAACTTGAATTTATTTGATTTTTTCAAAGATGCAACGAAATAGTTGCATCATTGACTGTCAAGTACATCAATGCACTCCTCGCTATTATAGCAGTCTTGTTTTCGGCTCACAAGTAGTTTGTGCCAGTACAAAATGATATTGCTTTATAATTAACGTTATTTCGTGGTTTTCATCTATCCGCATCACTTTAAACAAACAACTATCATGCTCGACGTTACACATCCTACATTCCTAACTCTTCCCATCTTCGTAAGCGTTCCGTGTGTCCTAACATCAGAAATTGGCATTTTAAAAGTTAAAATGGGACGTTGCAAATATGGGACGAACACTTTCATGCAAACTTGAAGTGACTGAAATCGAAAAACATCCATATTTGCAATTATATTGTTATCTCTTCTGATGAAGGCTAAGCAGCCGTTGCATTCATTTTCGCGCACGAAACGGTGAATTGCAGAGAAAGTAAAAACACAGGGTTACCACCTTTACTTCAATAATGTACACATCTGCAGGCCTGCACTGATGAGGCCTCAAAATCAAAACTTGAGCACCGTTGGTGACTGCGCTCGCTGCTACCCAACCTCGTACTGTACTATACTTACGCAAAAAGCTACTGTACAATTGCCATTAAACACACAAAATGACACGGATACAATTATACTGTAGAATATCATCTTATTTAGTAATACCTGTGTGAATATACCTAAAAAATAAAAAACTTTAAAGGATTTGTTCTCCCCCCAAAAAAATGAAATATAAACCTTTAGGTCTGGCAACAATGTATTGTTGAAGAATTTCTGAAAAAAGTGGAAAAGGGAAGCTTTAATGCAGGTCAAATTTGGAAGTGCAGTAGTGCAGTGGATGATAGAAATAAATAAAAAAAATAGGAATGTGGCAAAGTGGTTTTGGGAGCACATTAAGGCGCAGGAAAGAAAGACAGAGGGTCTCCAATACTTACTGGTATCACACGAGGAATGAACAGTAAGGGGGGGGGGGGGGGGGGCGGGGGGAGATGCACGGGAATATATTAGGCAGACAACGGAAGAGGCTATCACCCAGCTTGAGCAGAGGGAGACAGTGAACAGCATGGTCAGCAACAGTGTTGAGGAGGAACAGAATTGTTTAACAATGGGGACGACTACAAAAGAATGGGACAAGGCAAAAAATAAGGTTCCAGCAATTACAGCGACACGCCCAGACAGCATACCCGTGGAACTCATAAAGACACTAGGAAAAACAAGAAAATTAAACTTACGGCATGTGAACCAAGTAATTATGGGAGGAGAGGTACCGAATGATTGGAAACTAAGTAAAATGAGAATAATATGTCAAGGCAAAGGAAACAAAGACAGCATTTAGTCATATCCCCCGATAACACTAACTTCAGTTCTATATAAATTAGCTATGCAGATAGTAAAGCGTAGAATGGAGCAATGGACAGAATTTATAAAAATACTGGGCGAGCTCCAAAAGGAATTTTGAAGAGATAAAAGACTGGTAGGTAACTTAACCGTCACCACTTAATGTACAGAAATAGTAGTGAAGATCCGAACTCCTTTATGGTTAGCTTATTTGGACATCAAGGGACCGCACAATAATGTGAGTCAGAAAAAACTCTGGGGACAGCTGAAGGAGTATAATTTAGATACAAATTTGGTTAGGTTTCCTCAGCAGGTGTATACAGAAAATAATGTAGTTATAACATGCGAAGCAGAAACTACATAACCCGCAGCAATAAAAAGAGGACTCAGACAGGGCTGTCAACTGTCACCTCTGCTCTTCATAATATACCCCAATGAAAGGGAAAAGAAATTAGAGCAGAGCAACTTAGGTTTTGATATGAGTTATATGGAAGGAGAGAGAAAGGTAGTGCAGGTAATACCAGGAGTGATGTATGCGGATGATATAATACTCATGGCAGATAATAAGGATACATTACAGGAACTAGCTGGAATATATGGAGAGGAAGTGGACACCTTGGGCACGAGTTTAGTAGTGACAAGTCTGGAGTAATTGTGTTTAACGACGAAAAGAGGGAACCCCTGAGGATACAAGACATTTAAATATACCACGTAGGAAAGTACAAATATCTGGGACTCTGGCTCAATGAGGGAGGGAAATATAGAGAGGAACATGAGAAGAATAAAATTAGAAAATGGAAAAGAAAAATTATCATTTATGAAGCTCAAGGCACTATGGAACAATAATATATATGATGTGGTCAGAGGTATATGGAAAGGAATGATGGTACCAGGACTGTCTTTTGGCAATGCAGCACTGTGGATGAAATCAGTGGATCAATCAGGATTCGAATTTTGACGAAGAAGCGTAGGCAGATTGGCAAATGGAGCATAGGGAAAAACATCAAGCGAGAAGAGTACAGGGGGACATGGGAAGGTCGTCCTTTGAGAGCAGGGAGGTCAGTGGAAATTTGTAACTTGAAATTTGAACAAAGTTTTACAGAATGGATGATACGCAATGGGAACGGAAGGTATTTAAGTATTTGTACATAAAAGTTCAAACACAAACTGGAAAACCGAACCCGAAAACAAACATTTAAATACCTACATGCTGGCAATGGGGCTGAGCAGATTACTTCAATTAAAAAGGGGGTGAAAGAGGCAGAGAGAAAATGTAGGAGGGAAGTATGCAGGAGAAATCAGCTCTAACAGTGAACAACAGGTCATGAAAGGAGGACGTAAGAAAGGAAAATCTGTTTGAGAATTCACCGGGAAGTTCTTTGCTTTTCGAGGCGAGAATAGCAGTTTTGAGGACGAGGACGTATAAGGCTAAATTTCATGAGACAGACACTTTATGTGTCGCTTGCCTTAATGATAGCAAGACAATAGAGCATTGGTTTCGAAGTGCACTTGGCTTCACCCTGCACTCCCTGAAGGATTCAAGGATTTGGCCGGGGCCCTGGCCTCTACTGGTGACGATGGAAGGACGAAAGACAAAAGTATTACAGTGACAAAGAGGCGATTGGAAGTTTGGAAATTATCTTGCGAAAATTGAATGATGGACAACTAATTAGCACAGCTGGGGACAGGCGGGACAGAGGAAAATTGGGACGCCCTCCAGCGTGGCTCCGGCCCAAAGTCTCAACCGTCTCCCAGTGGGTCTGGTGCTGGGGTAGCGCCGACAAGGTTTGACCAGAGGAAAATAGGCGACTCCCTTGCCGGGGGAAAGAGGCAGGGGGATGATGTTTTTAATCGTTTTTGCCCGATCCCCCGAAGGTCATTTTTGCGATATCCCCCATTGTCTGGTGATAGTTAGGGGGAGAAAATTGGTCTTAGAAGGGCGGGAGGAATCATAAGCTTTTGTCGTTTTAGACTTAGGCAAGCTGGAGCAAGCTACCGCCCGTTACAAAGGATACAGCCATTAACATCCATCCACTCATCCATCCTTTGCCGAATCTTTAGAGAAGTTCAGAAAATATTCGGCTTTGCAGGATCCTAAGATTCGGGGCCGAATTTTTGATTCGGCAAAAGTTGGGCTCATCACTACTAAGAACCTAGTAAGGATGAACAAAAAATATCTTATTGTCGGTGATAAGCTGTGAATCCGGTAAACACTCCAATTGTAGCACCTACTCGCTGCTTCTGCCGGGTTTCAGTTGCATGTGTGACGAAAAATGATCAAAGACAGGAACCTTGCTCAAAAGGTTGAGCATTTAATAAGTTCTTAACCTGCTACCGACAGTAGTGTTATATAAATTCTGCTGAGAAATCAGGATGGCTATGCGTATATGCGGCTATGCAGAAAAGGGTAGGATTTTCGCCACAACAGAAATGATGATGTGAAAGAAATCCAAAAGAAAAGTGAAGAATTTCAGAATAAACTCCAGCCATTAAGAGAGCGGAACTAAAACCTTTAATGCACGATAGAGCCGACTCGGCGCATGCGTGGTAGAACTTGAGCAATAAAAATATATATATATATTTTAATGTATCTATACATATATTTAATTATTTAATGTACCCTCAGGGCCTAAGGCATGAAAGAGGGGAGCGGGTACCACCTATTGTGATGAAGTAACAAAGGGCAGTTATTATTAGCATAGAGAAATGACTTTTAGTTATATAATATTAGCTAGGGCGTTACTGAACTGTTGGAGATCTTGGTTTATTGCTGTTTGCGCGGAAAGCGGATTCCACTTCTGGGATGTGTGGGGAAAAAGTGATTAAAAAAACAATTATTCTACACAATGGTTCAGTGCCGTTGTGAACTTTACCTAATTGAGATAAAACTTACTTGGGGAAACGCGGGGGGGGGGGGGGGGGGGGGGAGGGAGGGGGGAGGGCAAATACGTTTGGCGTGCCGGTAAGGTCGATACAACAAGTTGTGAAAGAGGCAGAGACGAGTGGTTTACGGCGAGATGCTAGGAATGACTGGTGACGGTTATATTTTGTACTGATGCTTGCAGTTCTAGTGTAGTTTGGCAATATGAATCGAACATAATTGTTTTTAACCCTTTCTAGTGAGTCTGTTACGTTCAGCAGCTTTAAATATGAACGTGCTTTTGCAAAGTTCTGACGAAGATATCC